CGTGTTTGACAATTCGGGTGTCAATTTCGCCTTTCAATGCAGCCAACTTAACAGCAACAATTTCTTTTCGTTCGGTGTGCGTACGTTTGATGACTTAAGGCGGTCGAAACTTTCAGAAAAAGTGCAAATTTTGTGTTTAAAATATGGCTAAAAAGAAAAGTGATGAGTACGGAGCCGATGGTAATGATGGAGAGTATGAAGAGGAGCCAAACTTCGAAGATCCAGAGGGCTATGTTGACGACATTCCCGACGACGGTAAGTGCCAGCGCAGCACCACTGCGGCTCTGCTATGAGTGATTTTGCACGCCAAACACCGTACATGCATCATAACCTCAAAAGAGGGCAGAAATGCAAAGAAAATTGAATAATTATGACGTTTGTTCAAAAGTTTACTCAATAATGTTGTTTGTATTGTTTTTTTCTTTAACTTGCAGAGCTGTTAGCCAACATGTTGGCACAGCGTCCTTTGGAGACAGATGGTGTTGAAAGCGTTGTTGTTGTGGACAACATACCAAAAGTAGAACCATCCCGTTTGGAGAAATTGAAATCTGTTATTCACAAATTGTTTTCACACTGCGGTGAAATCGTAAATGTCGTCTTACCGGTTGACGAGGAGGGTACAACAAAGGGTTATGCATTTATGGAATACAAAAACGGCAGTATGGCTGAAGAAGCTGTCAAATCACTTAACAATCATCGCCTTGATAAGAATCATACCTTCGCCGTAAATTTGTTTACCGATTTTCAGAAGTAAGTATTTCTTGTGTTATTAATATAAGTATTAATAATATTACAACATTATTTGTATAGATATGAAAACATCCCAGAAAAGTGGGAACCACCAACACAACAACCTTTCAAAGTCCAGAACGATTTATACAATTTCATCAACGATCCGGATGCTTATGACCAATATAGCGTAGCCGCTGAAACCGCACCCAACTCCGTACAAGTATCGTTTTGGCAGAACACTCTACCTGAGCCCAATGAATTGGAGTCGCGTGAACGTTTTACCGATACTTTTGTGAAATGGTCGCCACTCGGTACATATGTGGTAACATTCCACAAACCCGGTGTAGCCATTTGGGGTGGTAGCAACTTCCAAAAGATTCAGAAATTCCCGCATTCAAACACACAGTTCGTGGAGTTTTCACCTTGTGAAAACTATTTAGTTACCTATGGTCCAACACCTACCGGACAGAAGGTTATTATTTGGGATATACGTACTGGCGTTGAAAAGCGCTCTTTCGTCGCTGATGGCATGTCAGTTTTATCGATGTTCCGCTGGTCGCATGACGACAAATACGTCGCACGTATGGGCGATAACTCAATCCACATTTACGAAACACCCTCGTTTTACCTGCTCGACCTTAAGTCAATTAAGATACCTGGCATACGTGGCTTCTCGTGGTCGCCAACCGACAATGTAATTGCCTACTGGGTAGAAGAACAAAATCAAATTCCTGCGCGTGTGACACTTATGGAGATTCCCAAGAAACGCGAAATCCGTAACAAAAATCTTTTCCACGTGGCCGACTGCAAATTGCACTGGCAGAAATCAGGTGACTACCTATGCGTCAAAGTGGATCGCTACTCGAAATTGAAGAAGGACAAAAAGGAGCTGGATGTCAAATTTCTCGGTATGTTTTACAATTTCGAAATATTCCACATGCGCGAAAAGGAAGTCCCCGTAGATTCAGTGGAAATTCGTGAATTGATTCTTGCTTTCGCATGGGAGCCTGTCGGCAATAAGTTTTCGATTATACATGGTGAACAAAGCAATGCGAATGTCAGCTTCTACGAGATGAACAAAGGTGTGAAACCTACACTTGTGAAGAAGTTGGAGAAGAAGTCATGCACGCATTTGTTCTGGTCACCACGCGGTCAATTCATTGTAATGGCAAATCTTTCTATGGGCACATTTGAATTTGTTGACACAAACAATGACTTTATTATCACTTCATCGCCCGATCATTTCCGCGCATCCGAAGTCGAATGGGATCCAACCGGTCGTTATGTTGTGACTGGTGTCTCAGCGTGGAAGGTTAAAGAAGATACGGGCTTCAACATGTACACCTTCCAAGGACGTATAATAAGACGTACCATCTTGAAAAACTTCGTACAATTTTTATGGCGTCCACGTCCGCCCACATTGTTGTCGGAAGCACAACAGAAGGAAATCAAGAAGAATCTGAAGAAATATTACCCAATATTCGAGCAGAAGGATCGCCTACGTTTGACACGTGCATCCAAAGAATTGCTCGAGAAGCGCTCACAATTGCGTGAACAATTCATGGAGTACCGCAACAAACGCATTGCCGAATGGAAGGAGCAAAAGAGCCGACGCCTACAGCTTAGAAATCGTAAGTGTCAAATGCAAAAATTTAATTTTTTTTTTTATCCGCATATTGAAATAAATTTTTCTTCTGCAGATTTTGATACTGATAATTTGGATACAGAGGATGTTGATGAGGAAATCGTTGAATTTTTAGTCAAGGAAGAAGTAACTGTGCTCGAGTAGTCGAACAATAGTTGTGCCGTTTTCGATTGAAGCCTACGCCTTTGCTGACAGTGCGCGCACAAAGGCTTAGTTATAAACTTACAACTACAACAAGAACAACATACATAAATATAAACATTGTATTTAAGCTAAAAATTATAAAATACAATATTTATTCAAGAAAATTGGTTGATCAAACAGAACAGAAGCAAAACAAGCTAACAAGGAGTTCCAAGCAGAGCAGTCAACACTCTATGCTCTTGTTTTTTTTTAAGTATTTTTTACTTAGATTTTTTTCAAACGCATTTGGCATACCAACTCTAAACGCTTCACGCGTAATTGACGCATTTGCAACTGCGTCCGATTTACTTTTAAATAAAATATTCTATACTAGACTTATTCAAAATTTAAATTGTATTTTCCTCAAATTAAAATTAACTAACCGTAAAGCAAACAAATAACTGCACAACCGCTTATAAGCCTACTTACTCTCTCTAACCATTGTTTTGCAAAGTATTTTTTTACAATATATAGTTTTTGGAATTCATTCTAACAAAATATACACATTTTGTTATTTTATTCTAGTTTTGTAATTAATTTTATTTGAGTACGTAGAAAGCTTACGTACCCATACATACATACATACATACATACGTATACATATAGAAAGTCGTTTGCTTACAAAAATGTTAACAAATGTGGTGAATGTCTCTACTGGTAGTGATGCTGTGCTCATTATGCTGATTTTTAACAAAATTAAATATAAACTTGCATTATATTTGTATGCCATAAGCAAAAGAAAAACGAAAACAAACAACAAACAACAAAATTGCGAATGTTTCATTTAGTATGCAAATGGCGTGAAGAAACTCAAGTCAAGGAGAGTAAGTTTTTGTTATTTTATGGTTTATGGGAGGAAAGTGTGCGGGATTTGCACTATTAGTGCAGAAAACAAATTTCTCAACACACGCAGGTGTCGTTTATTTACTTACTATATACAGGGTTATATAGACTAAGTGAAATAGGTTGATCAAAGCATGGAGAAAAGTGCTCAGTAGATGTGTTGTATTTTTAATATAATTAATATGCAACATTCTCAGCATAAGAAAGTTCACTCCTGCACGGCAGCCGGAAAAGAGAAAAAAAAAAACATTGTTGGCAACTTACAAGGCAATCAGCCGGCCGTTCATTAACTACGGCACGTCTATATTGTCGCCTGGATGTAGTGAAACGCAGACGAGGAAGCTTCACACCTGTCAGAATACCTCATTCCGAACTACGACAGAATGCCTCTTGATGTCTCCTATTGAACACCTGCATAGTGAGTCCCGTGTGCTCCCAGTTAAGGAGCATAATGAACTCCCCTCCAGGCAGTTCCTCTTGGGATGACAGATACCGTCGAAACGGCACGCTTCTTGGGTATCCTTAAGCAATTTACGCAGCAATACCATACGTAGAAATCACTCTTATAGTCACCTACCTCCTAGGAGTAGTTCCCACGCCGAGTAACCGGAAAGGGACCGGATTTTTTATCCGAGCAAAGATTGGCAATTTGACAGAATTCTGCTGCTAAAACAACAACAACAGCATAAAAAGATCATCCTTGATCTACGTCGACCAATACACAGACCAGACTGTAGATGCAACCCACTTCAGACACGCACTGAACAACATTAACACCTTCATCGACTGTCTCTAAGTGAATGAAGTACTTGGAATTAAGTAACTACCCATTGCAGATGAAGAACTTGAGTTGTCTTGCGAATCTAGAGTGACCCTTTCGTAACATAATTTTGGCTATTGCAGCAGGTTGAACTGCTACCTAACCGTAATCGAGCTCCCGACATTTCAAATATATTCTACATACATAAGTCCTACGTGCAATGAGTCCCCGCATGTCTTTAGTCACCTATTTGCAAGCTTAATGAATCCCACTCACCTAACACTGCTCTACGCATGGTCCGATCTCGTCTTAACAGCACTTTTCATGGTCTTCCGTTTTATGATCAGCATGCATGGACGTTGAGTTCCATTAAATTCGCGAAAGTCCAGTTTACTATAAGATAATATAGACCTGCTAACCAAGATTTCACCTTCAAATACAAATCCTAAAAATACGCAAATTTTTTTTTTATAATTCTTTAGATCCTCAGTCCTGTCTCGTTCAATAACCCTATTTTTCAAATCCAACTCTTTTACACCAAATTCTGAGTTAATTGCAAAGCCTTTTTGGAGGCTACTGCATCCGTAGAAGCTACATGGACAACATCTGCCTCTTTTATAACTCTATTTACTACGATAAGTGCACACGAACCGTTCGTACTTTCCACCCTGTCACTACCTGTGTTTAGTTGTGCCATTAGGTTACCTAGGAAACCTATTAAGCCGAATAGACTCATTACCAAAACCAGACAAACACAAATCGAAGCATTCTGATAACTTTCACGTGTATTAAATCAAATTTTAGTACAAAAAATATCAAATTGATAATAATGAGTGGTCAGCTCACACAAAGCGTAAGGAAGAAATCGAAAGAAAATCGTCGAAAGAGCTCTAAACAAGTGAACCGTACCAAATCCAAACGTTGCAAGTCACGACCAACTCGCGAATACCAGGAAAATGAGCGCGAGGTACTAGCTTTATTGGAGAACACAAGCCTCTCTATCGATAACAGTCCACAGAGCCATCGGAAAGATGAGTTAACGTTGAGTCTGGATTTTTTTTGCCGCACCAGCGAGGAAGAACTCCCAACAGCCGGCAGCTCTGCGCAACATAAAAAGCTACTGAAGACCGATAGTATTGAAGCAGCTAGCTTAGACAATGGCAGTGAGAGAACTGAAGAGGATGAAAAGCAGCAGGAAGAGTTTACAACTGCTGACGAGGATGACGAGAATGCGTCTGAGGGCAGCGAGCGAACTGTTTCACCTAATTCTACACAGCAGCGCGAGCAAACCGCTTCCACCTACATACAAGTCGACCAAGATGATGTGGTCGTGCAACGGATTGAGTGTGAAAGGTTCATACCAGACGCAAATTTGCTTTTCAAGCCACAAGCGAAACTCACGTCGGAAATCGCCTTGGCTGCAAGTAGTCTTGGCAATCTGGATAGTCGAGGAAAACCGCAAGTATTACATGCCAATATATGTCGCATGCTGAATCGGCATCAAGCAGAGCAGCGTGCGAGAGATGAGCCCATCTCTAAGGCGGTTGTAGAACAACTAAAGCTTACCAATTCAACATGGTCATCATATATAAAGGATCGTACACTTTACCGCAGCTTTTGTGCACATAAATTTCATCCGGTATTTTGCGAACCGACACGTCAACCGGACGAGATACCCACAAGGAAACTCGTGCGCATCTACTTGAAGGAGCTACTCTTCACGGCACATCCGCATTTGTTGGAGGAACATCGACTCTCTAACGCCTTGGAGGAGCTCTATGAGAATTATGTGCAGCGGCAACAACAACGTGTTTGTAAAAAGCTGCGCGCACAACTGCAGACCGAGCGTCGTGTGGTCAATGAGCTGTTGCTGCGTGAGTCAAGGAACAGCGCCGAACAGGAGTCGGCACGCACAATTGAGCGACGTGCGCGTCAACTGGAGAATCAATTACTGAGCGTGCGTGCGCTACGCAATAGGCTTTATGAGGAGGAGTCGAAATCTAAGCAGCTGCTCAAAGAAATACTGGACACTTGGAAGTGTCTCAAGCAACTACGTAAGACACAAGATTACCAATGTACACGCTTCAAACTACGCATACACGTAGAGGATGCGGCAAATACGGCCGCGGAGGCACAACGCTGGGCCGAACGCTTCGAGATGGACTTGAATGAAATTTACCGCGAGGAGTTGGAGATTTATTACCGCGCCAAACGTTTGTGGAAGGAGCGCGTTCGCAAGGCCGATATAGCGGAGCTACCAATTAAGCCACGTAAACCGGATATCACACAGTTGTCGACGGAGTTGCGCGCCAAGTTAGCCCAGTGTTTGGGTGCGCAAGGCGAACCGAAGATCAATGTACAACTACATCGTGTATGTGAGGGCGAGTTTTACAATCTGCCCGGTTTGAAGCGACTAAAAAGTTTCTTCATGAAAATTTACTTCGATGGTGAGTTTGTGAGCGCAACGCGCAGTTATCGCATCGAACCCGATTTACGCATACCGATGAACGAGGTGTTTGGCATCTTTTTGGAGCGGCGCATGCCAAAGGATATAAGAGTAACGGTAAATGTAGCTATGTATACAACTGCTTTCATCATTTTTTAACGCATTGCTCTCAACAGCTCTACGAAAAATTCCGTCTGCACTCAGCGCGCAAAGTTGTCGATATAGCAGTGCCTATACCGCACGCGCTGCACACGGCCGACACCGAGCACCAACGCATATGCTTTACAGCACCTCAATCTTTGAACGTTAGTGGACGTCTCACCATACGTTTTCAATGTGAGGAGCAAGTGGACTTGAGCGCCCGCTGGTATGTGCCAACTGCCGCCAACACCAGTCCCACCGGCTCGTTGCAAAGCTCACCCGCATGTCCAGCAATGGCGCGTGAGCTCCATGCCGAAAAGCTATTAGTGCAATTCGACGACAATGCACAGCACACTGACGAGGACGAAGTAGCAAGTGCGTCGGCCGAACCGGATAAAGCGCCAGCGAAGTCACTTAACACCTGCACCTTCGAAGAGGACTTATTGCATTTTTGTCCTATCGAAGATTTGAAGCATAACCGACGCTTTAAGCTGCTGCGTTCACGTTACTTGAAAAATGATCCGCGCACGCGCGAACTGCGCTTTATTGCGGCGCTGGACAATGAGCTTGAGTTCGATTGGTCCGATAAGGAGGAGGCGATTATTGAAGCGGGCGATTGGCTGGATCCGATCGATTTGCATAAACATGAAGGCAAAAAGTATCTAAAGCAACTCTACGAAGCGATACGTAGTCAGTGTGCGCGTTTGAGCATTGCTGCGGCAAGCGCTGAAGAGTTGCTGATCGGCGATGTGCCAGCCAGTTGGAGGTGTGTAGCGAGTGTGACGCTCAAAATATTTAAGTTAGAAATAATTATACTTTCTTAACGCTGGCCACAGCACATTCTTTCAGGCTTTGAGTTTGATCTTCAACCCCAGACGCACATTGAGCGCGCCACCCACTCTGTCAGCTACGTCACATGCGCATGTACTGGATATGGATGCTAGTCAAAACTACAAGATCGTTTTGAATATCGTACGTGCTACCGGTATACCAGTGCGCATACCAAACACGACGGATAACGAGAGTAAGGAACGCAGCAATGAGAGCCCGAACATGTTCGTGACGCAGCGTAAGTTTTGTGTATACAAAATATTCAGAGTTTTACCACAAATGCTGCAATTTTACAGTTTATAAATACTCCAACGTGCGTCCTTTCATAGTACTAAGTTACAGAGATAAATTTTGTCGCTCGCTAACCGTAGAGGGTTCAAATCCGACATGGAATGAGCAACTCATTTTGCAGTTCAGGTATTTTAGCACACGGAACTTTATTAATATACATAAAATACTAACATTTTTTTATGCGTTTAGTGGCAGCTTGACGGATATGCGCGATGATCTCAAAATCTCGCTCTTCGACGAAGTGATCGAGAATCATCTTAACGATGAGCTCAGTGTGCGCAATATGGACATCTATCAGCGCGTACAAACTAATTGGCTGGGTGAATACCGCTTTCCCATGCACACACTACTCTCACAACAAAAGGTGCGTGCATAGTCCGACTTGACTGTCCCAGCAACTATGCTCTTCCAACTAGTCACTTTATTTTATCTTTCAGCTTGATGGCGTAATCGAGTTGAAGACACCCAAAGTACTGCTTGGCTACAAACAACCAACTCTGGAGCACATAACCTCACAAGCTGACGTGAATATATCCATTGAACAATTTCCGGAAATAAAAGAAACGTTGCGCCTTTGGCTCTACATGAGCATTGAGCCGCACGTGACATTGCCACACATTAATACCGCTAGCTTGGAATGTGCCGAATTGAAGGACGTGCGACAGCAGTTGCTACAGTGGTCGCTGCAAGCGCAAGAGCTGCATCCCGCACGTTATATTGAACCGTTAGTTTGTACAGCAGAGGGTAAACGCGTGTGTTTAACGCGTCTTTTGGAACCGGTGTCACTGCCGTTGGAGTTGAACGAACAGAAGTTCGAATTGGCTTGCCGTTTCGTCGCACTCTTGAATGTATTGAAGACCTACGATCCGTGCATGCGCTTCGATGGCATTTGGCTAAATAACCAATGTGTGTTGGATACCAATTGGTGTACGTTGAAGGATCTTGGCGTGTTGTTATGTAATTTTCTGCTCGGTATTGGTGTTAACTGTTGGCTCGTGCTCGGTCATGCCACAACATACGGCGAGTGTGCCTTTGTTTTGTATCGAAATGATGAAGGTGAACTCTTGCTCATCGATCCTCAGACGGGCAAACGTTTCGGTACAAAAGATGTCTTCTGTCCGCTCTATAAGATATGCATGGTGGTGGCGCAGGATAATGTGAGTGTTATGTAATCGAAAGAGTCGTGAAAAAATTTCTATAAATATCGTTACAGTTATATGCCAACATTCAATCTGAAGCACGTATCACAATGACGAATTTCAATTTGAAGGACACATCCTGTTGGCTGCCCGCTTTCTCGAAACGCAATCCCGCCCCTTTGGGCGGTGTACAAAAACTAGATTACACTTACCAGCTCGCCTTCAATACATTCGAGCTGAGGCGCAACATTGAGCGAAAGATAATGAAGAAAATCAATTCGTGGCGCGCTATGCGTAAGACCATTTGGAATCGGTAAGTGCAATGCAAATTATGGTGAAAATTTGAAATGTTCGACGTTAAAATAATTTTTTAACAGCGCCTTTCAGCCACGCCTTCAAAGCATTCTTCAAGACTTAGAACAACTATGTATATCCGACAATGGATCGTACACTGAAGCGAAGTACACCGATCAAGTAGCGGCTGAATTTCCAAACTATAAGGTAACTCAAACCCAGGACAAGCTTATGAAAGAAGAGTTCCAATTTAGATTAGGTCATCTTAGTGGTCCAAAAAAGATTTATAGGTTAGGTTAGGTTAGTTTGGCAGGCTAATAAGCTATGCATAATTCAGTTTTGATCTTTAGCGATACCAGTTGACGTAATACAGAAGGAGTAGTTATCATCTAGGCGAAGTTCAACAGGTTATGTAGCCGCACTAATGATATCTCTTCCAGTGTCCGTGGAACACCAAGTGTTTGAAGCGCTGCCGTGCTGATGCAATACGTGTGCAGAAGAGATACTCCATTCCTGTTGCCTTGCCTTGACATTTCTTGTAGCTTTCTCTAACTGTCAGCCCCATTTTGTAGACGTGCGCCGCCTATCATGGTCCTTTAGTCCCTTCTACCGAGTGCCAGTAGCAACTTTGAGTATTTTTGATCTACCCCTTTGCCCATGACTTTTGCAGTTTTGCGCTTCAGCGTCATTTGGATCGTCATTGCCATTCTCCTGTCCAAATTGTCGTATAGACAATGCATGCTTTTATCAATGTGAGTGACGTTTTCGAATAACATTCGTACGCAACTCTTGGCGATCTAGTCCAATATTGCATAGCCTTTGTAAATGGTTTTCAGTGCTTGTCGGAAGTTGCGTCCGAACTCTGGTCGCCGTAATGTCTAACGTCGTGGACGTAATTGAGAAATGACTTTTTGATGTTCCTAGGAAGCGATTTCGCTCTAAGCAGGTGACTGCAGGAGTGATTTCTGATATCCTTATGATTGCTTCCTACATGAACCAGGAGATGGAAAATTTTTGAAAAATCTTTCTCAAATTACCCGTCGTCCAAAGGACGAAGACTTCTAGGGAATTGAATTTTTGTACAATGTTTATGCTATTTCGACAAAGTTTTATGGCATCTCTAGTTGCCCCAGGTTATTCTACTTTACATTTTAGTTCATTTAATTTTGGTATAACTGATTCTTTAATACTTTTTTCATATTTTCAGATCTATGGCTATGCCCTCAACTTTCCTTATACAAATCTCACTTCGATTTCTGAACGCATCAAGTCCACTGGCATACATTTGAATTCGGATAAGCGTGTTGAGTTTTGCTTGGCGACACATATACATATCTATCCAAATGATGTGCTCTCTGTGTGGATATTTCTGATATCATTGATACCTATCGGGTTTAATTAAGGGTTAAGTTAAGGGCGCTTCATTGAAACATATGATGTGTGAAAATATTATCTATGCAAAGCATTTGTTTTTAATATTAAGAAACTCTATTAATTTTAAGCACACAATTGTTACTAAATTTCATCAGAAATGAGTTCGCAAAATCGCTTGTATAGACTAGTATCTAGAAAAAAAATGATTTCTCATTGCAGCCAATTAGGCATTCGCCATAATAATTATTCAGGGAACACCTTTAGCTGACATAATCATATACATATACCTAAAGATATACGTATGTAGGATAAACGTGTGCACATATTCTTATATAAAAATGGGTACGAATGTATATACATACATATAATATATATATTTATGATTTATGGTATAAACTATATGAGCCACTTTGATCTATCGATAACGCCGTTGGCCTTGTTTTGTCTTTATTTCCTTTTATTAAATAAACGATGCGCACTAGAATCCGGTAATCAAGGTACACGTGCACATATTGAAAGAATTTTGATAAGTTCAGGAGTTGTTTTCCGCAATGTAGTTAATAAACAATTCACAGTTGGTTTCTGAAAGCGCGTTAACAACACACTAAATTAACGCTTTGTTACAAAATTCTAGACACTTGGCGGAACTTGCTATAAGGCACTAAAGCAATACGAAATAGAGTGAAAATAGCAGACAATACAAATTCCATAAATTTTAACTATAAACTAATTAAGCGCCAAATACATGTATCGAAAATCATAAATTTCCTGCGTTTAAGTGCCGTGACTTCAAAGAGCTTCGCAATTAAAACAAAATAAATAAAATAAAAAACCTGGTAATGTTTTTAAAAACACAAAATATTTTTCAAAAAACGTTGAATTATATCAAATGGCTTTTTATGCTCTACGAACTGAATACGCAAATTTCGATTTTTGAGCCCTGGGAGCGTGTGTTTTCGCGTAAGTTGTATACAGCTCAGAAAAAAGGCTAATATTTTTATAAAGTATCAAACTAAATTATAAAATAAAAAATTTCAAAAAATATACTTAAGTTTTAGCATTAAACGGAGAGTTTAGTTTCAGTAATTAATTTGCATGTTGATTGAACGATAACTCCTTTTTGTAGCACTAATAAGTTGGTTGCACCTGCAAGGAAGTGGGTATTATTATATTGATTACATTCCATAAGCTTGTAGTAACGTTTATATACATACATATGTATATATTTATAATGTTGACACCTTCCGCTGATTAATCAATTTTTTTTTACACAAAATTGTTTTTAATTGTTTTAATAGTACTTTGCAAATATCGGAGATTATCCACAGACAACTAATAACCATTAGAAGACCATAAAATAAATATTGATAAGCGTAATTTTTACATATGTAAACAGTAGAGTAAGCTTTTTAATGATTAAATATCGTTCGAAGTGTTTTCAATTGCATTCAAATATTTATTTTATTCTTTTTTTAACGATTGTCTGAAATTGGCTGTTGAAAGCATTACTGATACAAATTTTTTACTAGTATTCTAAATATTTAAGCAATATTGAACTTTACTAAATAGAAAATATATTATTTTATATTTTTAGATATTATACTACTTTTCGGCGCCGTAATTCTCATATATACCATTAGTTTTATACCGAACTTATCAAAAGCACTACTAATGTTTGCGCTAAATGGCGACTGGCAGCAAGATTCAACAACAAACAGCTTACAAACGGAAAGATTTACCCAGCAAATAATTATGTATATGAATTAGAATTTTAGGTAAAATATTAGCATTTATAATTTATAATTTTTTATTTATTTATACTCAAAAGAAATGCTGCGTTAGATTATAAATGTTGCTAATAAAATAAATTTAAACCTGTCTCTTATACACATCTAGATGTGTATAAGAGACAGGCATTTATAATTTATAATTTTTTATTTATTTATACTCAAAAGAAATGCTGCGTTAGATTATAAATGTTGCTAATAAAATAAATTTAAACAAAATTACACGTTAGTAACACATAAATTGTTGGTCAATAGGCTAAAAATGTTGGAACGCTAATTGTCACTTTTATTATTAGTTACTTTGTTCATACATACACATGTATGTAAGCAAATATTAACGTTCTGCAAATATCAACGATTTAAGCACCTACAACCGGAAGTTTGTTATTTTTCATTTTCTTGGCCTGCAAATTAAAATTTCGTTCACATATGCATGAAGACTTAACCGCATTCACGTTTCCTTTATTTTAGCATTATTTTAGTTATTAATTAAAGCTGTAGCGAAATTAAATTAAGTGAAAACCAAGCAATTCGTTGCAAAAATAATTTATAATTTTTCAAAATGTCTGCTTTAGAGCTGCCATACCAGATTTTTGAACAATGTACTTCTGTAAAATCAGGTGTACGGCTAAGTTGTCATTAAGTTATAAGCGGTTGCAAAATATTCCACCAGAGTTAGTATTAATTCTTTTAATTAGTATTTGTTTTTGTAATTTGCGGTACAAAAAAATTATATAACAAATATAGTTAATAACAGGCGACAATACTAATTCGTAAAGTTTGGCAATATAACATAATCGTTTCGAGACTCGGTGAAGTATGACAATTTACTGACAGTTAAACATCACACAGTTTTTGTTTACGTTTGTGCTTGTTTTATTGGTGATATTCTCAATGAGTTTTAAGTGAAATGATTAATAAATTCGAACATGTCCAACGATAAACGAACTATTTACGTCGGAGCATTAGCAGATGAAGTTACGGAGAAACTACTTAATAATGCTTTTATACCCTTTGGCGATATTGCCGATATACAAATGCCGGTCGACTACGAATCGCAAAAGCATCGTGGATTCGCCTTTATAGAATATGAAATGTCGGAGGATGCCGCCGCAGCGATAGATAATATGGTATAGTGCTAGTCAAGTTCTACATAACATAAATTACATTGATTTTAATTAATAGAATGACTCGGAGCTTTGTGGTCGCACGATACGTGTAAATCTCGCCAAGCCAGTGCGCATTAAAGAAGGCAGTTTTAAGCCTGTCTGGGCTGACGACGATTGGTTGCAGAAACATGCCGGCGCGACACTAAAAGATGATGAAGCTGAAAACACAGTCGGCACTAATGACGAGAGCGCCGATACAACTGCTAGCAAGCCTAGTGGACCCGTGGTTATTGAGAAAGCAGAGAAACGTAATCCTCAAGTTTTCTTCGACATACGAATAGGTGGTCATGATGTGGGTCGCATTATAATGTTACTGCGCGCCGACGTAGTGCCAAAGACAGCGGAAAATTTCCGTGCGCTCTGCACGCATGAGCAAGGCTTTGGCTATAAAGGTAGTATTTTTCATCGCGTCATACCAGAATTCGTAAGTAAACCTATTGAGGCAAAATATATAAAGATTTTCACAGCCAAACGCAATTGTAGATGTGCCAAGGTGGTGATTTTACTAATAACAATGGCACAGGCGGAAAGTCTATATATGGCAAGAAGTTTGCAGATGAAAATTTCACTCTCAAACACAATGGCTTTGGAACACTATCAATGGCTAACTCAGGACCCAATACAAATGGCTCACAATTCTTTATCTGCACCACCAAGTGAGTTTCTCCTGCAATATAGAACCATATAAGAGTAGCGATACAATCGCATGTTTATTTTCTAGAACGGATTGGCTAGACAACAAACACGTGGTTTTCGGACATGTAATTAGCGGAGCAGATGTAGTACGAAAAATGGAACGATGTGGAAGTAAAGCGGGTACCACAACACAAAAAATTGTAATATATTCATGTGGAGAATTGAAATAAACACGAAAATTTAATTTAAACATATTTTGTTTTTATTTAGTTTATTTTGTACATAAATGTTAAAATAAGGCTGCAAATCCAATACAAACACGCCTGCAATGAAAAAAAAATATATATATATTAGAAATGTTGAAAATTCAAATGGACAAAACGATTTTGAAATAATGAGTCAGTTTAACAGTAAACAGCATGGTTTTTAAATTGGGTTCGACTCAGAAGAGGGATCCTGAGTGAGGATAAATCATCATTAAAATATTCAAAATTCAGTTATAATACATATAGAAATCAAGCTCACCTTTACTCCCGATACAACTGCAATCCTTTCCATAATTATCATGATTATTGATATGTTTTAACTGAAATGAACAAAATATTTGTTAATAAAGAATTTTTTTTCATTTCATTTATAATATGGAAACATTATATCAGTTTAACAGTAAACAGCATGGTTTTTAAATTGGGTTCGACTCAGAAGAGGGATCCTGAGTGAGGATAAATCATCAAATTAATGGAAGTACACAAATAGAAGAGATTTATTTATACACACCTTTTCATGTTTCCTCAATATATCAATGAGTAGTAATATGTTACCCATATGCTTCAGCAAATCTGTAAGAGATAAAAAGAGCTAACATTAGTTCTTGAAAGATATGTTAATGTACGAAATTGAAGATTATTTAATATTTTCAGTTGGAAAAATTTGTTACATGTATATTTCAAATGAACTATACTATTTATGAGTCATCATATAAATATAACAAATTTCTAATTAATATATACTGACCTTTTGAATATACAGCTTCCAATATTTTTACATTTTCACATTGAACTGGAACTGCAGTCTGAAATTAAAGGACATAAATATATTACCTACAGCTCTATGTTTATTACAAAATTAATATTAGTTTCGAGTATTTTCAGAATCCTTTTGGTTTATTTTTAAGTTGTAAATCAGCAATTGCTTACTTATGATTAAACTTATCATCATTTGCATTTGAATGTACGATATCATATATTAAATGCATTTATTTAAATTTTTTAATATTTACCTTTTAATGATATTTGGGTCATCTTATGCACTGTAACCAAGCTTTCTCCTTCAACTGGCTTTAATTAAAATAGCAGCTGCAATATTATTTAGTTTCAGCTGCACATTTTACAAGCCGCTGCAAGTTTTCCAGCTATAAAAAATAATAAAAAGTATTTATTAATAAAGGAAGAATACTTAAATCTTATATTAAGTCATATATTAAGATCAGAATCCTTTTGGTTTAATTTTAAGTTGTTAATCAGCAATTATTTACTTATGAATAAACTTATCATCACTCATATACTTTATATGTAATTGATCTCTATTTTATATTTACCTTTACTAAAACATGTTAGGCCATTTTGTTCAGCATAACCCTTTTATACGTCATTCATTCGGCTGCAAAATTAAAAGACAAAAAAATGACACAAATGCATTACGTCACTAAAACTAATCATTAAATAGAATAACTCAGCTGGCCGTTCTTATCTATCCGCAAAAATGCAAGTGCTTACAAATAAATTGTGAAATTTAAACGTAAAACACTTTTTCAGGACGAGAACAATCATCAAATTATACGAGTCTTGAACAAAAATGTAAGAAACAACTTACGTGTGTTAATTGTATCAGTAATTTCCAACGCCATCCTTTCAAATAACATTCAGCTTTCATAAATTATGGATACTACATATTTATGCCTACAAGATTTTAGCAATATTTTGCTGAAAACTGTCATTTCAATTAGATATTTTTCCAGCTATTTCCAAATGTTTAGTAATGCGAAGTAGACTGCTTCAAGATCAAAAGTAAAATGAACGAATTGGCCCGAATTCCAAAAGAACAGAACGAATATGACAATGGCGTAGTTGCCACTTGGCTAAAAAGGAAACAGTTGTTGAGAAGTCTCCAATTGTTGCTGAGCCGGGAAATTAAATATCGCATATATGTATATTTATTAAAAATTATTTTTATTTACTAAATATAGTTGACAATATTTAGAATTTTTAGAAATAAAATCAAACAATTACTGTGTGTTTTAAATTTTTTTTATTTGCCTATGTATTGAACAATGTGGCTGGCTTAAAAACAATTTGTCATTTCAATTTCTTTTCAAATTGTAAAAAATTAAATTAAAATACATAACAGCAATAATATCAAATATTAGTCAAAATATGTTTTTTTCTATAAATTTTATGAAAACGCCTTTTAATCTCGAAATTTAAGTGTTTTATTGTGCAAATACCTTAAAGCGGGAGCAAGAGTAACCAAAGCGCGAGAAAGATGGCAAAGAAAAAACCGAAAAGAAAATCTGCCGGAAAAGGAAATAAAGCAGCAAAAATTGAAAAAGAATACACCATTTTAACGATGGAGGAGCAACAAGCGCGCGATGCGAAGTATGCAATGCGATTGGCAGATTTGCGAACGTGTCTTTCCTTTATTGACGGTAAGTGGGCAGTAAACGCTTAATGGAGTCTTTAGATAAAGTAAGAAGTAATGGGAAATGAGAAATAAATAAAGTTAAGCTTGCTTTGTGCTTTAATGACTGGAGTGACGATTTTGCAAACTCCAAGCAAACAGTTTTTTGTAGCAGCGGAAGAATCTAAAATTCTCTTTCCATTTTTCTTCATTGAACAGAGGCGTTTCTTAAAGTGGAGGAATTAAAACGCGGAGAGGACGTCATAGAGAAAGTTTGTAGCAAATTAATTATATTTGCATATAAATATGCTCATCAATCGCTTGCTTTTAGTGGAAAAAATATTTGCTTTGTGATGGTCTACCCAAGCCCTATATGCCGCCAGCAGTGCGTTTGTTCTTTGAGAAATTGCAGCATTTCGATCGTTTGAATACTGAGAAAACCATTGATTGGCTCTTGTCGGTTGATGAGCGCAGCGTTTTGTCACAGGATATATATAGCAAAGATATGACGCGCAGGGCATTGGTCAAAGAATTGCGTCCCAATTTCGGAGATGAGTACAAAACTAACATCGATTTACTATTAAAAGTAATTTATATATAAATAAGTTGAAAACTTGCAAACAAAATTAATTATTCTTGACGACAGGTTGTAAAGAGCATTGAGTATTATGGAGACGATGATGCGAAAACCGCTAAAGCACCGCTACGCCTTTTGCGCGATATATTGGAGGCATGTTGTGATTATTAAACACAAAAAATATAGCTTAATAAAAATAATATTGATTTGCAGCAAAAAAGAGCGGCCTATGAAGAAATCGAGCACTATTTCGATCATTATGCATATCGCATATTATCATCCGAAGATTCCTATATGGAGTAAGATTGCCGCTTTTAAATAAAATTTAAAATTAATTTTAGCTAATGTTCCAATCTCATCACACAGTTCTGTAAATGCCACTACAGCTGAATATTTTTATGAATGCGAGAACTTTGGTATACACATTTGGACGTTAAAAAATGTGCCTATACTCTTTCAATTCCTAGAGTAAGTATAAACAATTTATTATCAACTGAACGAGGTATAATAAGTTTGCATGAAGCTTGTTATATCATCATTACTTCTCGGAGTCACCCAAGCATTGATCAGGCACGGTGCCTGCGTTTCTTTTATAGAGCTAGCTAACAGCCAGCTTACCGCGAGATTACATTATGACTGTTAAATCACATCACATTGCGGTATGAGTGTCACCCAAGCACTGACCAGGCACGCTGCCTGCTTTCCTTTTCTAGAGTCAGCTAACAGCCAGATTCCCGCGAGATTGTATTATGACTGTTAAATCACATCACTTTGCGGCGAGAGCGTCGGCCAGGCACGGTACCTGTTTTCCTTATATAGAGCCTGATCAAAAAATCAAAATCAAGATTCAGATTTTTATATAACTTTTTTGCTATAATGTGCACATGAGAATGGTATTACAGCTTACATCACAGTATATACTGAGGCTTACATGCAGCTGAATTTAACGTTTTTTTCTTTTTTAATTCAAACTTTCGGGCTGTTTAATTTTAATATTTTTAATTTTCTTCTTCTTCTTATACGAACAGCTTACCATGTGTTGAGGCAAATTTACATAAACTTCAAGTTAAGATTATTTTACCGTATTCTATACTAAAAGAAAACCTTACCATAAGAGCCATACACTTCTTATTCGATCCGTTTAGTGAGAACGCTAAGAGCTTTAAGCAAGACATTAAAGACGTTGTGGAAGACTTGACAGCTGGCATACCGGGTACGTTAACTATATAAAAAATAAAGCAAATTGATGTAAAATAATTAAAGCTGGAATATTAATTTTTAACGTACTTTTAAAGATTTACACGAATGCTTGGTGCATGAACATTTTCTACAAGTGGACTTGCAGAATCAAGTGCGGACGAAATTGATGGAGAGACGCGCCGACTATGAGAGCAAAGTGCAGTAAGTACATTTGTATGCAAAAGTGTTTATTATATTTTTATATTTTTACTTGTTCCGTAAAATTGTATATTTTTTAACACTAGCGCGCTGAATGAACAACTGGAAAGTTTAAAGAAAGCCAAGTCCGCAGATGATGACAAAAAGAAGGAGCCAAAACTGATTAAACTGCCAAAGGAACCGCCTGTAATCAGCGAAAATACATTTCCGGATGTCTGGGATGACTTTTTGCAATTGGAAAATGAGCGTTACAACAGTTTCATTAACAATATTTATAATCCAGAATCCTTGCAGTTGGAAACCGATGAGGTCATATACAATATATAAATTATAATAATAAATAATAAATAAATTTTATTTTCTCCTTTGTAGATTAATTTGAAGAAATATACCATACTCGGCGGCATATATCAATTACATTTTGTTAAGAAGCCTGTACATTATAATTTCAACGATTTCAATATGACATGGCATGAGAATAACGGTGAATTACTAATTATTAAAGACGTTATTGCTGAGGAAGTGCTACCGCCAGTTACTTCACGTATCTCACTACATTCTAGTACATCAATATTACGCACGTCAGCATTATCTCGGCGTAGCATAGCACGTCTAACGGCGGCCGAGTTGAGTCAACTCTTTATTACACCGCCACAAAATTGTGATAGTCCGAATTTCGTGGTAACAATTGAATTGCCTGAATATTTATGCTTATGGGGTGAGCCTTTGGCATGCCATTACGAAGATAATTTAGTAGGTTACGAAACGGAGAAATTGTCCAGTGAAAATATACAGAGTATAACGCCATCTATACCAATTGATGAGCAGAATAAGGTGTTGTCTAAGGATCGTGGTAGCACCACGTTTACTTACCCTTCTGTGGACCTTTCATATACGCCGCGACAATCGACATCGAATCTTTCTGTGCGCACGAAACGCTCATTTTCGAACATATTCCGTCCATCAATAGCGTCGCTGGTCACTTTTATATCGCAGCAAACGCCGATGCATCAAGCAATGACTTTTCCCACAGTTGAAGACTTTGTTTTGGATTTGCCTTTAAGTCTTGTACAAATACGGAATATACAACGTTATTGCCTGCCACGTATTATATCGTCCTTCAAGTTCCCCGTCGAATTGCAGGACGAAGCCAACGAGGAGCAACGTGGCAAACCGAAGAAAGGCGGTATTTTGATGCGTAAGCGTCCCTCCGAAGACAGTGAACAATTGGAAGCAGTTAAGGAATTTCAGTATGATGGTCAAAATAATCCTGAGCGCATATTCCCCAATTTACCACGCCTCGAAAAGATACACATGGATTATGTAATTCATGACAAGGACAGTGATACTTTGACCGCTACAGGTACAAAGCATCCAGTAAGTTTCTCCGATTTGGTGCAAACACTGGACAAAATCCGGGCGTCTTATCAGAGCAGCTATAAAAAAACACTTCAAGTGGCCGATCGGAAAATGAACGCGATTTTATTTAAGGATCATAAGAGGAAAATGAAAAATATCAAGTCAGAAGAGTCATTTGCTAAAACACCAGTGACATCACAGTCCATGGCAAGCTTACAAATGGCAAAGCATAAATTGCTTAAGCGTAAAACACGCACAAGCGATTTGGATATACTAAAGGGTAAAGAACCAAAGGAGCGTGTACGGACGGAAACTATCGTGAAGCCGGAAATTGAGAGGGAGTCGGAAAAAGATTTGGAGAAAGAAGACGAGAAGGAAGAAAGGGAAGAGGAAGAGCTATCGAAAGAAGCAGAGGAAATGCCAGAACCTGAAAAGGAAATTAAACAAAAAGCATTTCACTTTTCACACTGGACAACTAAATACATCAATAAGACACAGTATGAAAAAGAGAAACATAAAATCACCATTTGGACTGATAGATTGGGTGAGTATGTGAAAGAAATTAAAAAAACTAGGAAGTAATACTGAAACATTGCTACTTTTCTTAATTTCAAGGTACAATTGGTTTGGCGTACAAGTTATACGAGCACTTTCCCTTTAAAGATTGGAGAGTTGAACCAGACATGGAGAAGTAATATATAATTATTTTGATTATTATTGTTATTATTGTTTTTGTACATATTCAATAGTGAGGGCGAAGTAATTTTTACACTGGAGACCCAATATGTTAGATGTGTGATTAATATTTCAGCTGCTGGCTATCGCGGGTATGTAACAGAGCCCACGAAAGGTTATGTTCGTCATCGTAAAATCTATATGGACATAAAAGAACCGATAACAGATTTTAAGGAATTGAAGAAGGTAATTGCTTAAATAATCTCACAAAAGTGTTGTTATAAATTAATCAAAAGAAAAATGTGTTTTATACAATAAAACTATACAAATTTAAGATATTAAATACACATGTATATGATTTATATACAAAAAAATAAAAACGCATATTCATTTTCTTCGCCTTTCTTTATAGCATTTTCATGACCGTTTCTTGAATATTTTTTCCAATCACGATGCTCGTTTTTATATAGAAAATGGTAATATAGTAAACATTCTCATACCTATATTGTTATTTTTGTTGTTTTTTATTGCTTTATGCAGGTTACTTTTCAGAAAAGCATTTAGCTTGTGAATTACACACCTACTCTTGCATAGCGTTACACTGTTTGATGTTGAAATTTGCACGATCTGATTGGAATCGTTTGGCAAACCGTCGTGATATTGTATTAAACTTCGGACATTGTCGTGATCCACAAGAAAATATGATGCAAGTGCATATAACTCCGGAGAATGCCACCTTTGTGGATATAAAGGAGTTGTGTTCGGATAATTTGGATGTATTTTTATTGGACTACACACTGACCTGGCGCAATATAGATGTGAGTATTAAGCCCACGAAAAAACATATAAAATATGTAGTTGAACAAAACTATCAAAATATGTTACAACAAGAACATCAAAATCAAGTTCTTGTTTGGACAAATTTTTTATTTTTAATTTCTTTGTGCAATGTTTTCTACTCCAACAACAGCACAAGTTGCTTTTTCCGCATATTTCATTAATTGATTTCAAATTCTTTTAGAGTTATTGTGACTTCCATCACCTCATTATGTCTGCATTTCTTTCCGCACTCGACAATCGCTGCAAAGATCCGAAACTCTTGGTAAATGTTAAAAATTTACTCTACGAAATACGTCCGCTAAGCTATTCATAAATTAATTCCCAGAAATAAAGCGTTTATATAAATTTTAATATATTTTAGTTTTTTATTATCTTAATATATTTTCAATTTGTCTCGAAGTATACAGTAAATCAGAATATATGTATCTTTGATTTTACATAATGCACATAATTTAGTTGAAAGCGCACTGCAAATTTAAGTTGATCGAGAACAAAACCACAATCCCTTTCATTTACAACAAATGTTATGTTTTTTGCACTATTAAATGCTTAGCTTTACGAATTGCAAATGGAAGTAAATCGAAAAAATTTATTCTCCAATATAATTGTGGAATGAGTTTTTGTTTTGTCTGCATACTTCTACAAGATGCAGCAAAAAATAATAAATGACAATCAGCAATTTTATGGAAATTGAAATTAAACGTAGAAAATTAACTTATTTACTAAACTTAGGAGCAAAAGTGTACATTGGAAATTAGTTGCAAACATTCAAAGGTGTGTACAAAGCAGCAACCGGGCACTAGGGAAGCACTCGTTCTATGGCCGCCATTAAACTCTTGTTGGTACACTGATGACGTAGACATTTCCATAAGATCTATAAATGTTGCTACAGGTGTACGCTCGCCGTTTGTTCTTGTTGCCTTTACACACACCCTATTTTGCTACATAGCTTCTTCTGATTCCTTAAGAACGGTTGTATTTACCCCAAATATGCAACATGAATACGGAGGCAATAAAAAGCAGAGACATCACCAACACGGGCACGGGTCCACTGCAATAAAATTAATCAATTTTTTAGGAATGCATTTTGTTTTTGTAATTTACTAAAATATAACAAAAGTAATTATATATTGCACTGCGATTCTTTTGTATTGAAATAAAACTTTATGATTTTGATATTAGAGGAAATGGCAAAAACACTGCATCATTAATAATATAAAACTTTAAAAGCTAAGTATTATTTATCACTTTTTAAACTTGAAACTAGTTCATTGATACTTAAAAAAAAGAGAAAGTACAAATGCAAAAAGTGGGCAATTGTGACCCCAATTATGCAAAGCATAAAATGCCATGTTGGCACATAAACACTTACACTTTAATGCCGGGCGAGTCATCGGTGTAGAAGCGCCACATGCCACCAGTGCCAGCACCAGTGGTGCGACTTCTGGCCGCTGTGGTGCTACTTGTGGTCTTTCGCTGTTTCAAGTTGCTACCACCAGCACCACCACTGCGTGGCGCTGTCATCTTAGTTGGCGAACGTGAACCACTGCCCACGGATGTTGAACTAGCTGGTGCAGGCTGCAATTATACGAAATAATATTGTTAATTCTATACACTTGAACATTCTATTTAATAATTTACCATTTTGTTATTTAACTATTGGCAGTTTTATATAGAAACACGTATTTACAACTGGCCAATCGAAATCACAACGAACCAATTGAATGCTTCCTAAAAAATAAAGACTTCGCCGTAAATGTATGACAGTTGGTTGTCGTCGTTTTGACGATTTCGTTGTTTTTTCCAATTCGGCTATTCAATCGTTTCCACGTAGACGACGAAAGTTGGCTGCAATGACAGTTAGCTGTCAAAAGGAAAACGTCAGCATTTTTTTTGATGGATGAAACGTAAGATGTCGCTCGAATACCATTCCGTTTTTTTATATATTCGGGCATACGCGTCTGTTGGAAGCGGAAATTTTGATAAATTATTGAAATATTTTATATTTAATGAATGGTTGGTAAAAATTCTGTAAGTGTATATATTAAAGTATTTGTGTATTGTGTTTCAAAGTAGTTTTAATACAATGTAAGTAAAAGTCTTCTATTAAGTGAGTTTAACATTTTGCTTTTATTGTGGGCAAACTTAGTGGTTCTCCCCGGGCGGAAATACAATACAATGGAGGAAATGAAGAATCTTATGTGTGTGATAGGTAAGTTTAGCTAATTTTAAACAAATATTATTGATTTAGAAATATTTGTATATAATAGGGAGTGACGCAGAGATGGATGTTATGTAGAAATATTCAGCCGACCCTCGGAAAAATTGTTGCATTTCCCATAACAGCCGGTTTTACGCACCGGAAATGACCGGTAAGTTTTAGTTTAAGTTGTATAAATCGCAACAACTCGCATCTACGGCATTTACTCTTCATTGTGATTTTTGTACCCTGAAGAGGTTGTAAACGAGCGCTCGAAATAAAGTACTTGCGTGGAAAACTTTTTTATTTGCCAGGATATCTTCGAAGACGGCAAAGATTACCGGTTGAGATAACGTTCAAATTGCCGCATAAATTCTTTAGATCGGTCTATTATAGTTGCCACCGATTCAAACCAAGGTGAAAATACTTGTATACCTTTTTATGCTATTTTATTTTTATGTTAAGTTTAAGGCTTCTTTACAACAGCAACAAAGCTTCGCTTCTGTTAAATTTACCATATATTGTTTAATTTTTATTAAAACATCTTGTTTACAGTCATATTGCAAATCCCATCGTACCCATCATTCAATATTAATTAAAGAACATTTTATTTTTGTCAAAGTAAAGTTTATTTCGTGCATAGAATATATACATATATATATATATAAGCTACGTTACATAAGTGTTTTAAATATATGGTCTTGTATATTTTTTAAACAATAATTTTCCACATTATTCCGCCTCTTCTCTTCTTATATTTGCCTTTAATTGAAAACACTAAATTAAAGAATGATCATTACAATAATAATATTATATTATAGCGGGTGTATGCATAGGTAGAGCCTAGTGGTGAGTCACAAAAATTCATTTACTATTTAGGAATATCATGTCCTTGTGTTTAAGTGCATGTTATGCGGCTACAAGCTTGCGTTTAAAAGTCTCCCGTATCATTTGCTCTATACATCTAAGTATGCACTTGTGATACTGTTGCAATTAGTGTTTGCTTATTTGAAAAAATTGCACATTTTCTTTATATTAATAACTGGCTAAACTGTGCGCAACACACATTATACATTTGCTACAATTTCTTTATATATTTAAGTGTGGTTAAAACTAGCGTAGCAAGACATGATATCCACCGTTATAGTGAAGCAGTAGTCAAATGAAAATTAACTAAACAATTAAATGGGCAAAAGTATATTTTAGCTGTGTGAATACAAATTGTAACATTCTAATGGTTGTGTATATAGTGTTAAATAATCTCTAAAGATTGACATTTGCTTTTCCCCAGTACTTTGCATATAGTATGTATATAGCACATAATATTTTTATTACAGTTAACTTGTTTATATGTGTGGAATAATTTTTGTTTTAAGTTAAGAATAAATGTCGTCAAACTACCAGTAAACTAGTAACCCCGTATATTTGTATATACTTAATTTTTCATGCTTTAATTTTGTTGTTTCATCTAAGTGCATTATGAAGAATTCTTGCTTATATATGTTTTTTTTTTTTTTGTTATTTTTGTTCTACTTTAACTTTTTATATGTGTGAAATGAGGAATAATTAAGTTGCAGACAAAATATCTAAGTTTATGACGAGCTGGCACTCGTATGTCCGCCCACTGATGACGTTGTTATTGCAGTCGTGCCATTTGCATTATGTGATTTGTGTTCGTCCACACCTTTTAGGTTAGCATCGACCTTTTTATCCTTTAATTGTCAATTTTCAGCTGACATAACGCCGATATCCTCATTAATGGACAATAATTGTTGTATGAAATCTTGATCGTTGATGACATCGGCTAAGGATTTACAGAGTTCGGTGAGCTCCTTCTCTTTCATATTTAACTGCGGTGCCAGTTTGCACAAATGTTGCTGCACATTATCGGGAATCTATAAATAAAGAAAAAAAATACATACATACATGTGTGTATTGATGCAACGAGTAACTCTTTAGCACAACGGTTATACCTTTCCAGGGTGCTTGAAAACATTGAACATGAATTTCACTTTTATGCGTTGATCATTTGGTCCATCATAGAAGAGAGTGAAATGTGACTCGTTGCAGTTTGGCACAACCGGTAGGTAAATGCCCGCAAACACACGTCCTTTGGCGTCACGCGACAACAACGAGCGGAAGTTATACACCAGATTGCGACGCACTGTCACATCGATCGCCGTCACATAGGGCTGTTCGACGTAGATGAGCGACGATTTGAATGATTGCTCATCGCCGCGTGTTTCACGTTCCATCCATTCAACGAACTTCTTGTTTTGCAGACAATAATTGTAGCAGTAGTCACGTTGCAGACGCGCTTCTTTCGATTGTGTGAACCAACCTGTGCGAAATTGTGAAGAGATTTGTTAAAAATATATATGTTCATTTAGATACACTGCTTTTACATACCTGTATGTGGGTACATTTGATCGGACATCACGGTAACAGCGCGTCCAATGTGATAACCCGGATCCAATATCATAACACCTTCACGTCCGGCAATCGAAATCTTCATAGCAACCATAGCGTGTTCCTTTTCGACGTTGGCATGTGGCGAGTTCAAACCGCCCACTTCATCGGTGCTTTCAATGTAGTCACTTTGCGACATGACCTGTTCTTCGCACGAAACTAAATACAAATAATGTTGTAGCACTGGAAAGATCTCAATAATGCGTGTCACTATCTCCATAGCCAATGAGACACACATGTGATGACGCCTGTTTATGGGCAAATCGTAGAATTGGAAGAACGACTTGAGATCCGAGCGACGTGTACGCTTGAAGGCGCGATAAAAGTCCACAAATAAGTTGACGGTATCGTAATGTGTCTCCTCGAGCATACGATGTAATTTCGTCTCAATAATCGCATTTAGATCTTCATATTCCCAAACCGAATCGAAATGCAGTACGCCTTTGGCGTATTCATCATCACAGCCGGCTGCCCAATCGGGCAACGGCAGCGGATGTCCCAGCGGCCAGATTCCATTGATTTGATTGAATGCAGTTAAATTGTAGCTATCCTCATCGGCCCACCACTCTTGTTGGCCGTGCATTTGGTTGCGCCACCATTTGCGATGCTGCTCCTCAAGTAGTTTACGTATGTTCGAGCAGCGTTCCATTGATGCACTCGATGTCACATTATCCACTTTGTCAATGTTTCTAATCGTATCGGAGTCAAATGCAATGGCACCGGCCACAACAGCTTCCACCATTTTGTTCTCAACATTTTTAATTTTGCTGTCAATTGTTGTTGTTGTGGCTGCTGCTGCTGCGGCTGCACCAACTGCATCGTAACCATTTGTAACGCCGTGTCGTCGTCCACCAGTGTCGTTGTCATCATCCACATGGCTTTCATCAACATCATGGTGGTTGTCCGTCGACCACGTCTCGTTGTCGTTGTCCACGTTGCATTGCTGCTGTTGGGCGACAACAATTCGTTGGCCGTTGTTGGTTTGTGGTCTATCTTGAACAGGAACGGTGTTCGTAGTCAATCCAACTCGTACCGTACCCGCCGATGGACCGGCATCGGCGCCGGAGCCAACAACAACAGCTGCTTCAACAGCTGTTGTGCTTGCGGCGGCGGCGCCACATCGCACCAGGCTGGCTTCGGCGAGTCAACTTGGCCATTCGGCGCCCCAACGGCCAACCGTTGGCACGTAGCCACTTTCGCAATCATTTAATGAGGTTTCTAGATTAATTTTGGCTGTTGCGTTATTTGTTAATGGAATAGCGGTAGCTGTAGCGGCAGCGGTTGCTGGAGCGGCGGCGGAGGCGGCTGCAGCACCGTTACACGTTGAAAATAGACTATTCCGGCCCTGCGCGCTTTTGAACAGGAGGTCCGGCTCGTCTCCAAAATACGATGGTTGTTTAGAAAGCTCTGTGTGTAGGCGAAAAAATAATAAAATACCGATGTTATTAATAAGTAGGAAATATAAATATATATTTTAATGTGTAGTATAGTGTATATATATTGCGACTAGTAACCGGAATGTGGTTTGAGTTCTGCAACTATTTTGTATCTTTATGTATAAATAGATAGATAGTTAATAATGTGGTATTGCGACTGCGACCTAGGGTCTATTGTGCCCGCTCCTAAATTACATTTGATCACCTAGGTCCAGCATCCTGAATAATTCGAGGAGCCTGCTGAGCGCTACTGAGCTTATGTGATCATGCCTGCTTTTGCAAATTGCTTGACAATCCAGAATCAGGTGTACTGGGGTTTCCTGTTCCATGTCCATATTGGACAAGTGCTTTCTGAGCTTGCCGGGCCCTGTGTAGAGCACGACAACGAGGCGGAATTTGTCACGAGGGAGGTTGATTATGTCCTTAAACCTTGAGAGGTTCTACCCTCCTAGAAACAGCTTAGCATTGTACATTCCTGCTGCCTACTGACGGTGCTGTTCTCTCTCCACTCTCTCTTCCGTGCGTAGCAGCTTCTTAAAGGTGTGGGACCCCACTGTGATGCATGGTGCTGGCACAGGAATCCAGTTTATGAATTTTTGGTTTACTTAAAGCTTACTGGAAAGTTATGAGGAACTTTTTAAAATGTTCTGACAATTTCTAGCAAATTATTGCAATTTTTGGCTTCTAAAGACACGTATAGCACAGTCGTATGTTTGCTAAGTATATTTTTTCGAGTTGACTGTTGTTTGCAGCCTAAAACAGTTCATCATGTGATCATGCTTTGTTATTAATCTCTTATCGGTGTTTGCTTATAGAACTCAATGAAAAAAATTACTTAACATACATAAATATATTTATTGTAGTATATCAACAAGATTTTAGGTGCAAAATAATAAATTCGAATGGCGGCTGGCACATGACAACCTACTCCTTACCTAATCCCTAAACAGTGCAGCTATCTTCCTTTATTTGCAGACAAAATTCTGTAGCTGTCATTTTTCAATTTCATTTAGCTAACAATAGTACTTTAATAGCTTTATTACTTCCGTAATGTGACGCGTGAGAGTAGCGAAGAGAAGCAATTTCGTACCCAACCCTAAACAATATCCACATATATATGTATATAAGTATGTATGTTGCCGAGGCCATACAGTCGAACATCTGGGAAATTTCAATGACCTCAAATAGCTTCGACGTGCACTGAGATTTCTTAATGAAGATGCATGTTGAGCTGGCTGGCTGCAGTTCTAGAAATGCGTACAATGCTAAAGACATGCTATAGAATGGAGCTGTCGTTGGCTTGGGAAAATGTTTACACTACTTTTGGTTTATTAACCTTAAATATTTTCTGTAAATTTGCCACGAAGTCCAGGATCCAGGAGGAAACATTAGACACTTTATAAAGAGTATATATGCATGATCGGCAAAGAGGAACTGAGTCGTTTTAGATACTCCTGCCTGCATATAAGCGTACTAGTTGCTTAGTTTTTGAGATATCGAGCTAAGATTTCGGGCACGCCCTTTTCTCCTCACGAAGCTGCTCATTTCTTCGAATCGTCGATATCGCACCACTATAAGATATAGCTGTCATAGAATCTAGTCGTTCAAAATTCAGTCCTTATATGAAACAATTTTTTATTTGACAAGATAGCTTCACGAAATTCATCAGGAATTACTATCTAAAGCAACCTTATAATCTTCGAACAAATTGTTGAAATCGGACCACTATATCATATAGCTGCCATACAAAGTGCATGATCAGAATCAAGTTCTTACATGGGAAACTTTTTTATTTGACAAGATATCTTCCCAAAATTTGACACAGGTTATTATCCAAAGCAGCTCTATAATCTACAAGAAAATTGTTGAAATCGAATCACTATATCCTCTAGCTGCCATACAAAGTGCACGATCAGAATCAAGTTCGTACATGGGAAACTTTTTTATTTGACAAGATATCTTCCCAAAATTTTACACAGGTTATTATCCAAGGCAGCTCTATAATCTACAAGAAAATTGTTGAAATCGAATCACTATAGCATATAGCTGCCATACAAAGTGAACGATCAGAATCAAGTTCTTACATGGGAAATTTTTTTATTTGACAAGATATCTTCCCAAAATTTGACACATGTTATTATCCAAAGCAGCTCTATAATCTACAAGAAAATTGTTCATATATGTAGCTGCCATACAAAGTGAACGATCAGAATTAAGCAAACTTTCTTATTTCATAATAAATCTTCAAGTTTTATCCAAGCGTACAAAGGTCCAATAATCAGAATTCCAATAATCAATTGTTTCTTTTTATCGCACTAAAAAGCCATAGAAATAAATATTTAGAAGGTTTTCAATTTACGTCAGCTCTAAAAGCATTACAATGCTGGCCAACACATGCATACATATGTGTACATATTTATGTATATTTTAGCGCCACTAACAAACGTCATTAATACGCACATGCATACATATGTATGTATTTACTACTTGTTTTTCCTGAATTTCTCGCGAATCTGTGCTAAAAGCTTTGTGAATCACACGCTAAATATGAATTTTGTAAAAAAAAAACTACTGTAATTAAATTAGAGAAAATACACGCTGATTCACTAGCGCTGGAGAAGCATAGAGAAAACACATACACATACATATGTACGTGTTTGTACGTTTATAAATAAAATAGTCAGTAATTAATGTTTGCTTAAAAAATATACGCAAGCACATAAACACATACTTATGTATGTATGTATATAGTATATGTTTGTTTGTATTGAAGCAAGTAAACTTTGTACCCAAATATTTCTTTATAAAAAACCCTGCATATCAGACCGCAGACCTTTAAAGCGCTCAGCCACACACACATGATTTCATTATCAAGCATATATTTGTGCATGTGAACGCCGGATGGAGGTCACGTGAAATCGAAATTCATAGTTTGTTCTACTAAACATTCGCGTTTAAGTCTAGGCAAATAATTTCTAACACATAATACAATCTGTCGCTACTCAAATGTCTTTATTTCGGTTTCTCTTGCTCGCATCTGTGTTTCGCTGTCGCCAACGCGAGTGATTGAACAAATTGATTGACTAATGAAAGCAATATGAGCACGCACACAGACAAGCATACATACGTATGTACATATTTACATACAAAAAACAAGCGTATAATAAGCGTAGGTGCCAATAAATGAAAGCTTTTTCATTTGATACTCGTTCAACGCGCCTGGTAACGCATTTTTCACAGCGCTAATATTTATAGTAATTGCAATGGTTCTGCTGTTTACATAGATACAACTACATATTCGTACATATTGAGTATCCAAGCAAAATTACTATTTAAGCGCTAGTAGAAATATTAGAGAGCAGCAAGTAAAACGAAAATTTTAGTGCAAATACATACATACAAACAGAGATATGTACGTGTGAGCTTGCGGTAACCATAAAAATAAAACTGCCTCGTAAATAGCTTTATATACCCCCATGCAAATAAATACATAGATACATATGTACATCGTTGCCACGTATTATGGTTTTTGAAGCAAATATTAAATATTTCTATTTTAAATGCTGTTTTCACTATTTTTATGTTTCACTAAATGCGCGTGAAAACTATAGAAAAATTAAATTTACGGAAAAACATTACTTTGCCATAAATGTAGTTGTTTATGTGCCTTCTTGCTAACAATTTTTACCAGTTAATATTTGCAAGTAAAAGTTTTTGTATGGAAATCTTTTTTATTTGAGAAGATATAATCACATAATTTTACATAGACTATTCTGCAAAGAAATTCTATAATCTTTAAATAAATCGCGTATATCGAACTACTATAGCATATAGCTGTCATACAAACTGACCGATTAAAATCAAGTCCCTAAATGGAAAACTTTTTTATTTGACTAGCTATCTACACTAAATTCGACGTAGACTATTATCCAAAACACCGCTACAATCTCCAAGAAAATGGTTCAGATCGAAGCACTATAGCATATAGCTGCCATACTCGACTGAATGATAAAAATCAAAGCTAAGTTCTTTTTAGTGCCATAAAAATGCATCTGTGAAGGGTGTTATAGCCGATGTTAATATTTTTCTTTATTTCATTTGCATTTACGTCGGTGGAAAAATATTTACTTGCTTTCAGCAATTAAAAACAGCTGGTTTGCCTGTTTGATGGTCATTTAATTAAAATCAATTATTTATTTGTCAGAAATGTAATGGCTGCAAAGGCATTTAATTGATCAAATATTTCGTTTGGAAATTTGCCGATAGTGAAATAATGAAGCAGTGGGACTTTATAACGGTTTCGTATAAGTAAACATATTTAATGAAATAATTACCAATATGAGGTCTTACTTCGAAGTGATGAAAAAATACGAAATGTCAGAAATCGAAACGGAAGGCAATCATGCAGCCGCGTACACTTTTAAAATGGAAGGCTAATTTCTACAGAAAACTTTACTCGTGTACATGTACATAACGTAATATTAGCATGAGCTGGAATAGCTAAGCATGGTTTTAGGAGTTAATGACATTGTGTGACATTATAGTATATATTTTAGCGTTTACTTAGATCAGCGAATGTTTAAGAGTAATATTTATATTTTAAATCCGAGAATGTTTAAGAAAAATATATATATTTTCTGAGAAAATTTAACACAGTAATCTATTTATGATTTTTACAGCAAAAAACCACATACATACGTACATACATATGTTATTGAAGCTATAACTTTGGAAAGAAATTTAAAAATGTGTATGTGCA